ATTATTGAGTTACTGAGATTTAAAAAAAAATCTTAAAATATTCAGTAGAGCAAAATTAATATCACCATATAATAATATATAGGGTGTCCCAGGCTGAGCGTGCATTAGAAGTTTCTAGAGAACCCCAATATCTAGATCTATCGATTAAAAATATTTTCAATATGGCGGCACTTCCGGAAATAACGGAAGTTGACAGCAACTTTCTTATTTTAAATAGGTGCTCCCATTTTTTATTACATACTTAAATTCTCTGTAAAATTCTATGAATATTGATAAACACTCTATATCTAACATTAACCGTTTTTGAGAAAAAAAAATATTTAAAATTTTTGGACGAAAAAAACTACCTGTCACAAAACTTGTATAGCCTAAAAGTTAAATTTAATTATTGTCACAGCCACTGTGACATAAAGAGAAGACATGTGGCTATCTATTTCAAAAATTAAATTGTTCGAATGTCATATAATAATGGCGGTAGCTGTCAAGAAAGTGAGTGATTAAAAAATTGTCATAAATTATTTTTTTCAAATGGAAATCCACTTTTTTTATTTCACTAATGAAACGGATTTTCAAATCGTTACTTTTTAACTGTACATGTTCCTATACCTATAATAAATCGTTTTTAAGTTATTTAAGATTTAGTTTGAAAACGTATATTTTTCTTCATTTCATTTAGCTTTTTCTGACATTAAGTGTCAAACGGTCAGACAATTTATTTCCATCTGTCAGAAAACGAATTATTTGAATTTCTTATCTCTGTTTTTTTTCTCAGGTAAGACGATGACAGAAGAAAAGCAGATAACGTCCCATACCAATCTATTTATTTTACTAAAAAAAGTTTCTAATAATTTTTAAGTTATCTATGGATGGGTTTAAATATAAATCCATCATGCGTCGTGTCTTGTTGTTTTTAACCAGTTTTATTGGTTTATTATGGGTTTATTTAAAAAATAACAGATCGTATTTCAATTTTATTGGTTTGACGGAACGATGAACGACAAACGGACGCCGATGCGTATAAACACGCCTTTAGATTTTTGTCATTTTTGACGCTTGTCAAAGTCTTGCCAAATTATAGGTTAGAATTTAGTGTCAACTTTTGTCATACTTTTGTTAAATACCCTGCGTTTTGGAAGATGACGCATTTTGATTCGTATTATTACGTGTGTTTTGTGTCTTTTGAAGTCAAGTGGAGGAAAAATCGAGTGAAAATTAACTGTAGACCCAGAGCACAGTTTATGGTTTATACTCGCTGCCCAGGCAGAAAGTTTTATACACCAATGAAGTTGCCATCGATAAAGTTTGTATACCATTTCGTCGTAGATAAGTGCATCTCGTATTTGGTAGAAGGATCAAACTAAACACATACTAAAAACCATCTAAAAACTGGAGTAGCTGTAAAATATCGACATCATACGATAGGTAAATAATGGATTTTAGTACTGCAGAAAAATAATGTCAAAAGGTACTGATTTAAAAAAATTAAGATTAAAGTTAATTAACCAACCTTTAAGGTATAAAATTTGGTAGGTGCTATTATTAATAAAATAGTTTGTTTTATTTATCTATGTTGTTTTATTTATTCCTGTGGAATATTACAAATTTGTATTTGTACATAAGTTATATTGATAAATATAATCATAAATGCGGGTAGTTTCATAAAGCTTGAAAGTAAATAATAGTTCTTTTTTATATTTTTTGGTATGTAGTGTCTTGTTCTTGTTTGTTTTGTATTAACACATACCGTTTTTATTAAATAAAATAACTCGATTACATTTTTTTCAGTTTTATACAGTTTTTTTCACAATATTTTGAAGTTACTTGTCAGTCAAATTTTAAATACATATATTAATTTCCTGCTATGCGTTCCAGTTGTACCAACTTATTTCTTTGTAAAATAAAATAAACTACTTTGAAATTAAAATGACAGACACATCTGTCACTGTCAAGGATCTTCTCGTTGGACAGACTTATAGTATAAATACTGCCTGCTTAAGAATTTAAAAAGTGCATTTATAAAAATATATCTCGTATTTTCGCTCTTTAGTGATATCTAATAGTTGATATTATTAATAATATTCCGTATGATCGAAAAAAAAAATAGCGCAAAGTTGGCCCGAAAATGATTCTGCTTTTTAAACAAAGCGTCACAATAAGTCATAGGCTACTGGTTAAAATTATAAAGAAAAATATACGCTTTAAAACTAAATCTTAAATATCTTAGAAACGATTTATTTCAGGTATTAGAGTAACGAATTGAAAAGCTTTTTCACTAGCAAAATAAAAAAGTGGGTTTTAATTTGAAAAAAAAAATGATTTATGATAATTTTTTAATCGCTCAATTCTATAACAGCTGCGGTCATTACTACACGACATTCGAACAATTTAATTCTTGAAATAGATAGCCACGTATTTGTCATGTTTTCTCTTTATGGCACACTGGCTGTGGTAATCACTAAATTTGACGTTTAGGCTATACACATATTTTTGACAGGCAGTTTTTTTCGTTCAAAAATTTTAAATATTTTTTTTTCTCAAAAACGGTCAAGATATAGAGTGTTTAATATCAAGATTCATACAATTTTACAGAGAATTTAAGTACATAATAAAAAATGGGGGCACCCATTTAAAATAAGAAAGTTGCTGTCAACTTCCGGTATTTCTGGAAGTGCAGCCATATTGAAAATATTTTTAATCGATAGATCTCGTTATGAAACTATGATGTGCAAAAAATCTCCGAGCTAGCTGTTGTAGTTCTCTAACAACTTCTAATGCACGCTCAGCCTGGGACACCCTGTATAGTCATTAGGATGTTTAATTATTGTGAATCTATTAACATAAAAAATACATAGTAAATGAAGAGAATTTTTACGCTTTCTCAATAAAAACTCTTCAGCTTTCATCTGGGATGTTATTAAACTTATTGTTATTAATTATAATTGTTATTATATCTGTGTTAACCACGCCCTTTTTGACATAAGACATACGTTTACTCGTTGACAAATCGAGTTGCCGCCGATTGACCTTTGACTCGAGATGGAGCAAACTTAAATAATTGCCTTAATTTCCTTAGCAATCGACATCCGATATGGTATTGCGCTCTCGATTGTGGGCAGGGCCTTATTAATGAACTCTTTCGTAATAGACGTAGCATTATGTTCTTGTATTAGATTTCGACAGTGAAGAACAATTTAGTTGTATAATTATAGCTTAATATTTAGTTTAGATCTTTTAAATACTTATACAGGGTGTCCCGATATTCCGTGGACATAGAACTACTACGTATCTTTGGAATCAAAATAAGTTTTTGGACACAATTTACCACTATACAAAAGGGCTTCGTTTGTTCGCTGGAGGGCAACAAATTTAAAAAAAATAAACACATTTTTTCAGATATTTTAAGAACCGTTGTTTCGATTTGTATGAGATTAATTGAGGGTAAATTGTATCCAATGAACTTATTTTGATAAAAAAAAAACTAGTATCTCTATGTCCACGGAATATTGGGACACCCTGTATATTTATAGCCTTTTTTAAATAAAATAACAAAAACGCTCCTGAGGTTCAAACTGTATTAGTCATTTGCTGTAGTTGATCTGTACTTACTTTGCTATACATATCGTAATCTTAAATAATACAGTGTCTTCAAAATTCTGTACTAAACTTTCTAAAATATAAAATATTTTTTTTCTACAAACGTCAAAAAATGAAAAGGTTCGCGAATTGATAGCAATAGAAGATTATTTTCTTTTATCTATGTTGATAGCAATGTGCGAAGTGACACTTTTTTCATTTTCTTACGTTACCATGACACGGTGCGCGAAGTAATGCGCGAAATGCCTATTTCGCACACTGCATCTAAATTATATGGGATTTTGGAATTTTGATTTTTGGAAAATGAAGAACTAAATCATGACTAATTATTCATGACTATATGAACTAATATCATGACTATATTTCGAAATGTTCAAGAATAAACAAATAACAAATATCAAACTTAACACTAATGCATATTCTAGTAATTATTTACAATATTAACATTAATAGTACAACCAGTACACGAACCAATAGTTAATCCCAAACTAGATAGTTCTGATTTTGTTTGAGATATGATGGGGGTTTTGGGATTTGAGACACTATCCAATTTTGATGTAGAGGTATTTGATCCCGGTATTTGGCACTCTAAAATTTTATTTGATATTTGAATTTTATTATTGATAGATTTCCATCCTCCGTGGCGCTTCAAACTAAATATATCACCCCCTGCATTAGCAAGGAGTGTGGCTGAATTTCTTCGGAAACAATGCCCAGTGTAGGCCTCATTATCTGGCAGCTTCAAGTGTTTTGCTATCATGCTTCCTAGGCATCTTACCAATAGAATTCATGCCGACCACTTGGTTAACACATCTTTTATTTTGATATTTTAAAAACAATCTGCGACTAGTAGCATTTCTTGGACGAAGAGTTGCGTATTTTCGGTAAATCTCAATATAATTCAAATTTGACACTGTAAAGACTCGGTCTGTGTTTCTTTTTGTATCGGGTGCTTTAACAATCAAAATTGAGTCTTTATCTTCTATGTTATTGACCGTCATTTTAGTAAGTTTCTCACGGCGGCAAGCACCAGAAACACCAAGTATCGACCTTTAAAACGACCTAAAAGGAAATCAATGACGATGTTCAGTAATAAAAAAAACATACATTCCAAGCTCACGGTTTTTTTTTCCGAACTTTTGTTTGCAATTCGTGCGTGAACTACTTTGGTGATCTCGACTAATTTTTCAACTCGGCTACGCCTCGTTAAAAAAATTCAAGTATCGATCACCAAAGTAGCACTTCGCGCACTAGATACAAAAATAACTATATTTGTTGTTTCTTAATGTTCCATTCATGTGTTTTATTTTTTTGTAAGATGCAGAATTAAAAAGAAACATTAATTTGTTGTATTTCACAGTTTTTAATTGTACTTATTTATTATGCGTTATTTTATTCTGTTCCAGGAATTTCAAAAGAACTGGAAGAAGTGATCAAGAAAGACAATTTTGTCGTCTCCTTAAAACACATCAAACCAAGAAGACGTTCCAGAGGCATCGATACATTATTTACAGTAGATTTTCCAGGATCCGAAAATAAGTTTTCTTTATTACTAGACAAGAAAAATAAAAAAAGTAAGTAATAATATAAGTAATATATTACCTTCATTATACACTCAGATGAAAAAACGCAACGGAGAGATATTTTGGTCAATTTTAAAGTGTTATTTTTTTGTTATTTTTAACCCTATTTTCATGAATTTTTTAGCAAGCTGTATATAATTATAACACCTTTAATTCGTAAGCTCAGTTTGTTATAAACTTTAGTATTTGACATATTATACAGAGTTAATCGAGGGGTTGTTTTTTAACCCTAACTTTAAAACACCCTGTGCAATAATTTCGTGTGTAAATTTTCCTAAAATATAATTTTACGGTCAGAAACATGTCTCCTGAGCATTTTGTTTTTTGGATCATGTCAATATATGCCTTCGTTAATTTTTAAGGGCGAAATGAACTCGGCACCAACAATTTGCAATTTTTTCAATTATCATTTCTTTTTGAAGTTGTTTTTCAATATGACAAGGCGGCTTTGGAGATTATTGTGAACTACAAACCACTATGAACTGTACATCATGTTCTACGTTTGGGAAATGCTTGGCAGGAGGGTTAAAGGTCGCAAAGCGCTACCATCTTCATTAAATGAACTTCGCTTTGTCCTTAAAGAAGAATGAGAAAACATGTCGCAATATGATAGATGCAGCCTCAATGACAGTATGAACGGACGTATACAGGCAGTTATAACTGCCAAAGGAGACCATACAATGTATTGTTTGTTATTTTTTACAATTTTTTTTCTGTTTGTATACTTGATTATTACAATTTTTTTCTATAATATCGTTATTTCTGTTATCGTTATTAATGTTTATTAACACCAGGTCAGTATCTTTAGTATTTAACGTTTATTTTTAATTTAGTATACCGTATTCAATGCAGCGTAATATGACGTTATGACAATAGTCACCAACTTGTCTAAACAAAATTATTTGATATTATAATACGCAGTCATCAGAAAAGTCTAGCGATAATTTTACAAAATCATAAATAAAATAAAATGGTGATTGTTTAGTAAACGGTTCTTAGTTTAAAAAAATATTTAGTTTTTTTTCTCTTGTTTGCAAAGAAAAATTCATATTGTTTATAAGTAATAAAAAGTGAACGTGCAAAGAATTTCAATACAATAAAATGTAAGAAAGTCATAAAATTCATGTAATAAGAACATTAATTATATGTATGTTAAAAGATGTCCATTTACATTATAGCAACCAAAATTTAAAACAAAAGCCGTATAAAATTGTAACGGCAACAAAAAAAGTAAGGCCGCAAAATTCCATCTTTGGTACACCCCAATAAAATTTTCACAAAAGGTAGGTAATGGTTTGTCAAACCCAAGTAGGTACCTAGATTAGATTTATTCTTATAAGAAAGTACGGTTTTTCGAAAATAGATGTTGTTTATAAATTACAGGCGCTTTATAGAACTTAAATTTAATTTTTAACATTCAATACCCTTTCTTAAAAGGGAAACAGAAATTGTTATTAACTTATTGGTAATTAGTATATACCATGTATCTTTTTCCTACAAATAATTTAATTAATAAATATAATTTAAAAAACATAATAAATATATGATATACAGGGGCGTAGATAGGTGTATACTATGGGGGTGGTACTATGATTAAGTCGCAAAAAAAATTACCGTCGGAATTTTTTTGTCGAATTAAAACGACGGCGATTTTTTTGTCTTCAAAAAGATATAAAAACATAACACAAAAATTAAAATATAGATTTGTAAATAACATAAACAAAAATGAAACAACGACGTTTATTAGTTAATTTTCTATAAACTATAAAAAAAAATAACTCTAAACTATCAAAAAACTATAAAAACTATAAACTATAAATAAAACTACAAAACAAAATCAAGTTTTCTAGTACGCTGTTTGGAAAACCTATCAATAACAGCATCAACATTTATTTCAATATCTTTATGGATATTGATTAGAGTTAACCCCACTAATCTGTCCTGGCCAATAAGAACACTTTGTGTGCTTTTAATTAGGTCGAACATATTATAAACGATAAATCAACATAATTAAAAGCATACAAAGTGTTCTTATATGTCGGATTTTAATTTAAAAAAATCCTTTCATAGTCAATGACTATTTCAATTCTCGTATCTCGTCAAGCGTCGGGGGGGTACTGGGGGACAGTACCCCCCCCCCCTTATCTACGCCCTTGATGATATAAAAAATAAACCTAAAAATAAAATTTGGAGATCTGCTATTTTTTATGTCTAGGTACGCCTCTGATCTACAGAGAATAGGATATAGTAATATACCTAACCCTACTTATTTGTATTTACCGGTGAAAAGTTAAATTTGGATTTAAATGATACACTCTCTTGTACACAATACATGAATGCACCATATTTTTAAATTAATGTCCACAGAAGTCCACCAAATAACGCAAAAATACTATAATACTGCAAATAAAGAATATGGAGCTTGATCGGCGGCATAGCAACATCGCAAAAGGAGAGAATCTAGGATTTTCCATTCATCCTTGAAATACGTTGTACTACGCCGGCATATTTCTAAAACTGACGTTGCCAAACTGCTTTTTATTATTAAAAGAAACACGACCATGATATTTTTATTCCATTATAAAATTTAAAATAGTAAAGCAGTTAAGTATTGAATGAAAAAATTGACGTTAGCAAATTAATGTAGTTGATATATTACAAAAATATAACGAAATTATTTATTACTTAATAATTGGTTGTGGTATTTAATCGAATACTAATACCAATATACAGGTAAATCTGGCAAATGTTTTCGGTGTAAGAGAGATGGGAAAATAAGGATAGAATAATGGCTGATGAAGGAGAAAGGTAAACAATTGTATCTCTTGAGTTTAAATATCTTTGGTTCTGACCGTAAAATTATATTTTAGGAAAATTTACAGACCAAATTATTGCACAGGGTGTTTTAAAATTAGGGTAAAAAACAACCTCTCGATTAACCCTGTATAATATACCAAATAATAAACTTTATAAAAAACTTAGTTTGACCAAAAATTTCTCCGTTGCGTTTTTTTGCTTCTGGTACAATATTTAAAACCTTTTAGCGTTTTTATTTGTGTAAACATCTATTACAGAAAAATGTCTAAAATTGTTATGGAATTATTCCTCAATAATTACTTGTACCTAGTAGGAATAATTGTGTGCACATACTTACATTTAAATACTTTCCATATTGCAGTTATTGTTGAAACTCTGGAAGACAGCAGAGTTAGAGAACAGCCCTTCATAGTGGACTCTCTTAAAAATGAGGATCGTATAATCAAATCTCTAATCCTCTCAGTTAACCAGTCTCAACCTGGTGCTCACGCAAACTTGTACCTCGACTGTGTGTCTTATGGCATGGTAGCGACACCTAGATCTATGAGAGAAATGTACACTAGTATGAGAACACCAGCCCTAGAAGTGGTAAGTAAAAACTTGTTCAACTACTAGCTTCCTGAACCATTATTAAACGTTGTGTTAATCAAAATAAATAAAGACCATGGAAATCCGGAATTCTTTTAAGTTCAATACTGAATCAAAGAAATATTATACTATATCATTATATAACATTTTCTGCTTATAGTTTCACGAAAAGAAAAATTATATGGAGGTCGAAGGCCATAGGGACTTAAGAGCGATCCTAAGCAAAAACGAGTGTCCCCTTTCCATAGAAAAACACTTCGACGTTGATTTTGAAAAGGATATAGCCCAAAATCTATTGAAAGACGATCACAGTTACCAATCTCAACAACCTTACGGTCCATCAAGCGTTGATTACAGAGGAGACATACCTTTGGTTACGACCATAAACGATGGTAAGTCAATTTAGTTCATCTAGCAGGAAACTACTAATGTAAAAATGTAATTTATTTCTGTTAGTTGGGTTAATTGACGCACTCAACCAGCTGATCAGAGTGGTTAATCTAGAAGTTCAGAAATGTCAAGGTCAAGCTGAAGCTTTCGACAAGCTGAGAAGACTGATAGAGGAGTGCGAACTGTGTAAACAGAGGCCACCAGAAATTCAGCGACCAACATGTGCCAATAACCCTCCCAGGTGCTTCCCTGGGGTACATTGCTATGATACAAATGATGGACCCAGGTGTGGATCGTGTCCACCAGGATATCTAGGAGATGGTAATGTAGAAACTTATTTAAATTCGATCATAAATTTACAGATATAGATTCTGTTAATTACTTTGTCTTTGATATTTGAATTGGTTTTTATATATAAAAACCAGCTGTTATGTTTTAACAGCAGGATTACGGGCAATAAATGACAAATAAATAAAGCTGTCTCTTTAGTTGTCAGTTTTGAGTCAATATTTTTTAATTCTCTATGTTCTCTTTCGTGTCGATGGCTGATTGAATTGGAACCAGAAATGGCTCAAAACGAAATAAGTCAATTACCAACAGATATTCAGGCTGAGGCGACAAACGCCATATCCAAACTACTTCCATTTAAATCCCGAATAACTTATGAAAAGGAAGACAAAAATTTTCAAAAATGGAAGCAATTAAAAACGTGCGAGAAGAAATAAAGTTTTTAACCTATCCTCGCTGTTAAAGTATCATTTAATCTACCCTTGCGGTTAAAGTACTATTTTATCTAGTATTTTTGATAGATATAAGGCAATTTTAACAGTTGCTATGGAAAAAAAGATTTAAAAGTTATACATACCTTGTATGAGAAACGCTCGTTGAATTTGACACTTTATGTGAGTTTAATAAATTATTTTCGTACTTTTAGGCATAAAAGTGCTTTACTTTTATGCCTAGGCGTTGAAATGACTTTGTAATATTGTCAATCACGTCGCAAAAATTAATACTTTTGTGACGTTTAAAAAAAACTCTTTTGTCTGTTTTTTTTTCTTTTTCGTAAAAATTCTGGTGAATTTATCCATCATTGTAGTTATAGATAATTCTTGACCACCTGTTGTTTAGTGACTATTTTGGTAATTGTTTTTCAATCACTACAGTAGGAATTTTGGCTGATTAATGACATTGAAAAGCTTTGTTTGTTTATTTTATCCACAAAACATCCCCCTTTAGAACTTCGTCTGTCATGTTAAGAAATGAAAGTAAATAATAAAGCGCCTCTCGTGTTTGTTCGCACTCAAAAAATTTCAATTAATGCCTGTATATATTTTTAATATATTTTTTAAATTTACATTTTTTTAATTGTAAAGTAATATATACATTTAAATGAAATATATTACATAACAATTATGTCAATTATAGGACTGCAAGCTTGTTTTCTAACATTTTTTAAATAAAACGAATTATAAAATTTCAATATATTATGTATATTTGTCGTAGGTATGAAAAAAGTAAAATATAAAATGGACAAACGCTTACTTACATTGCAATAAAACTTCCACTTTTAGTTTTGCAATCCAAACGCAATATTTCTATTTTACAAATAAAAATATCCGACAACACTAAAACCACTGAAACTTCCGCGGCTGACAACGAAAGCTGAAAAATATAACGGCACTTTTTGTTTTGGATCTGCATATCAACATTACGCTGTACTATTATGTGTTTGTTGTTGAAATAATATAAAATATCTAATTATAACTTGTAAATTTTAATATGTTAACATGATTTTAACTACTTTTGACAATAACTAACTTTTTATCAAGAGGACATTTTAGACGGCAACTGACATATGTCATAATATTTGAATCTTAAATATGTATGTAATATAATTTGAATTACTATAATGCAACTTTATACTAAGAAAACATTTATACATTCATAAAATACAACGAAGTCTAATAATATAGTTTGAAAACAATGAATATTGAATTCAAATTGAAAAAGTTAAGCGCGACCCCTTGTGTCAAAATTAGATGATTAAATTTTCGCAATTTTTACACCATTTGATGACCGGTGGCGCCTCTAGTGTTCGTTCGGGCGGTTGGGCTTTTACTCCCGCTTATGGCCATTAAAGAAAAAGTTCTAAAGGGGGTTGTTTTGTGACTTTATCTGACTTGTTGTTGCCCTTGTTCTTGTGACTATTCGTTCCTCTGTTCCTAGATTAATGTAATCTAGATGTTATTGGTAAATGATATAAAAACGGCTTCTTTAATTTTTCGTTTCCATGTGGACAACGGAGCTTTCGACCACTTTATATTATGCTGCTTGAATCAGAAATGATCTGTAATACCTGACTTTGAATATCTAGAGAACGTTTAGTATCTCCAATATCTATTTACTGCATTCACAAAGTATTTGGTAGATTCTTCCTTTCTCCTGTTTTGATGTTTCCGGAAATGTTTGTGTTCCTTGGAACTTTAGTTTCGGAGATATAAATTTAATCAGACCTTTTAAAAAAAATATTTTTATTTTTCAGAAACTATTTGAGACAGAGTTTACCAAAAATGCTTTTTATATCTACTAGTGGGTAAATGAATTTGTAGATATAGTACGACTTTTTTTGGAACTTTAGTTTCGGAGATATAAATTTAATCGGACCTTTTAAAAAAGTGAATTTTATTTTTCAGAAACTATTTGAGACAGAGTTTACCAAAAATGCTTTTTATATCTACTAGTGGGTAAATGAATTTGTAGATATAGTACGACTTTTTTTGGAATTTTAGTTTCGGAGATATAAATTTAATCGGACCTTTGAAAAAAATTAATTTTATTTTTCAGAAACTATTTTTTGGTGCACCAGTCGGAGGAAGATGCTCTATCTTCCTCCGACTGGTGCACCAATGAGCCAGTTTTACAATTCGATAAAATTTTGACCAGAAACTTCTCAGAGTAACCATTTGAAGGCAAATTCGTCTTAGTATTATTTAATTCAGTATTAAGTAATGCTTGATTACTGAACCATTACGTCACGTTAAAAGTTATTTATTTGTATTTATTAAAGTTCATCAGAGATAGAATTTCTGCATGCATTGATGATGATCATGAGGTTTTCACTACTATATACATTTTTGTTTAGGGTACGAGTGTAGACCAGGCAGGAGATGCTCAGACCACCCATGTTTCGACGGCGTAGAATGTAGAGACACTGCTGATGGCTATCGATGTGGTCCATGTCCCGCAGGATACGAAGGAAACGGTGAAGACTGCCGCAGAAGAAACCCTTGCGAGTACAACCCTTGCGCACCAGGTACTAGCGATAGTTATGATAGATACCGTTACTAAAATGAAAAATATACCTAATACAAAGTATCAGTAGATGAAGTATAGATAGACCAGATATAATTTAGAAAAAAAAATTCTGACATTTTTGTTTGGCTAACAGATATTTCCCGTTACTAATTTTCAAATTAGAAATCTACACTACTACTACTTAAATTCTAAAATATAAATTGCTGAATTTCGGTGAAAATATAATTTAACTTTATTTAATTGTATGGATAATTTTATAATTATTTTTTTATTGTATTTGGTCTAATCGTATATTACATATTAAACATTATTACTGCTTTCTAGTCACCAGAATTTTTATTTTCAGTTGATTTTTGTTACGATTGATATTTTATTATACTTATTTACAGGGTCTTCTTATAAAAAATGATAGCCAATATTTACACATTTTCAAATTTTTCTTGTTTCAAAATTATTTTTTTATATAATTTCGTAACTCTACAGGGTGATTCCTGTAAGTGGGGGCAATGAAAGTTTTTGAAAAATTAAAGATATTCTTTAATAGTTTTTTTAACAGTTGAAGGTATCGTTATAAAATTATATATTATAGGAGTCTACCTAACAGAGTCTACCTAAGAGAGAAATTACCCGATGCTTATCACATCTACGCCACTGGTTGAAACTAAAACCTCTTCTTTTTACATTTAAAGTGTCTCTGTTAGGTAGACTCCTATAATAACATTTTATAACGATACCTTTAACTGTTAAAAAATACTATTAAATAATATCTTTAATTTTTCAAAAACTTTAACACCCTGTATCTTGCGTAAGAGGCATTTCCGACCCATAGTATGCTATATCAAAATTAATATTTCGACGTCCCCTATCATTCCCCGAAAGCATCACTCCCGCGGGCTTTTCTAGTGATAATTTTATTAGGTTAGCAACTTGCGGCCATGCTGACGCAATGCCGTCTCTAATAGAACAGCCTCGGAGCGAGATTTATGACGTCACGCTAGTTAGATACTACGGATTAGTAAATATGTTATAGAATACATGGAAAACATAATTATTTTTCGTATTTATAGTTTGTATTTTAAAAATGATATAGTTTACAGTTAATGAATACAATATATATACCTATTTATAGTAATAAATACTTTGGCAAATAAACTATGAACCATATAAATGCCGCAAATGTTTTACAGTATGGCTGAAATCATATTCCATAGTCAGTGTAGATAGTTTTAGTGTTAAGAATAATAATTTTAAAAAATATGTGGTCATTTTTTAATAAGTTTATATTAGTTTATTAATTGCAGTAAACATTATGTTGTGTGTGGGGTGAATATTTTATATGTAATTTTTTGGATTATATTTGACACAATTTTTTTCATATGACACAACACTGATGAAGGCTATAATGTTAGCTGAAACGTTTTTTTTAACCAAATAAAAATAATGAAAAACCAAATGTAAACTTGATCAGCGTTTTTCCCGAACCTAAATCCCAAGAAAAGCAAAAACTTTAGAATAATTTTACATATAAAATGACAGCGATCTTTATTTCATAGCCATCGCTGACGCCTTTTTTCTATGATATTGTATTATTTGCAAATATAATTTTTCGAACATTAATAACAAATACATCATTATTAGTAAATATTGAATATTTTTTGTAAAAATAAGATCGATTTTCAAACCCCTAAATTTAAAATATATTTTACATTCTATCCATTATCTTATATACCTATTCATTATTTGTATATTGTAAAACATTTGCTGCATTTGTATGATTCATAGTTTATTTGCCAAAGTATTTATTCCTATAAATAGGTATATTGTATTTATTAACTGTATATTATGTATATTTCATATAAACTATATCATTTTTAAAATACAAACAAAAAATACGAGGAATAATTATGTTTTCCATGTATTCTACAACATATTTATCAAGCCATAATATCTAACTAGCGTGCCGTCATAAATCTCGCTCCTAGGCTGTTCTACTAGAGACGGCATTGGTCTGATATTTAGAAATATCAAAAGCTGATGACATTTTACTTTTGACAATTATGACATTTCGTGTTGATTTTCGCAAGAAGAGGAAGAACTACTTGTTTTATTATTTTCCTTTTCTATTTCACGAAAGTAAAAAGAGTTACCTATCTGATTCGTTCAGGCACTCAATTTAAAGAATATCAGTAACTTTTTTAACAGAGTGATTTTATATTTGCCATGTTGGTAAAAAATAACGGTCAAAATTCAAAGTTATTCATTTTATAGACTATATCTGTTTCATCAAAGGTGCCCGGTGAAGTAGAAAAGTCTTAGAATAGAATTATTTATAATTTCATCCCCAATAAAATGTTATTACATTTTTTTATTTATGCTCTATGTTTTTAAAAGTTTGTGTAGACACAGAAACCACAATATTCTACAGATATAAGATTTTTTTTTAAATTTTATATTTATTTCTATTTTTTTAATAATTTTGTTTAAATTTTATTTGTATGAATTTTAAATTCAAAAGAAATTTGGTTGGACGTTCATTACATGCACCTCTTAATATAAAGTACAAAAAATATTTGATTTATTTTTTATACCAGGGGCGTCTCAAAAGTGGCTCACCCCTATAACTTTTTTATTTTTTCAGATAAAAAAAACAGGTTTGGTATGTTAGTATATGACATAAATTAGGAGTAATTGACGCATTTACTATCGAATAAAGTAGAAATATACCGAGGGTGTCATTTAAATATCAAAATTTGTAGTAATTTCCGGTGAAACAGAAAGTGACGAAAAACAATTGAATACGTCAATCATTCCTAATCTATGTCATATACTAACATACCAAATCTCGTTTTTTTATCTCAATAAATAAAAAAGTTATAGGGGTGAGCCACTTTCGAGACGCACCCGGTATATACATACATATTTTGTAAATACTAATCATCTTAGAACTAATGCTAATATCATTTGTCATGCACGTCATCTGGTATTTATTGCCTATTGCTAAATTAAAACCTGCCTAATATTGCTACTATTTTGCTATTTTTTTAGAATAATAACAATAAAAACCAGATTTTAGTTTTTAAGACAGCACATTTTTTTTCTTTAGTCATAAACATTTTAAATAAATTAATTTTTTTATTAATGGTTATTTTTCTATGTAGAATAGAACAAAACCCTATTTTCCTTTTAATTATGTTATAGACAATAATCTTAGCCATGAATTTTAGTTAGCCAATGTTAAGATTTTAAATATTAACTATAAGTAAATTACTACCTTCATTTCTAGCCCAAATTAAATTTTAATTGACTCTAAATTATATATCCTATATATTGTCTTTATAATACTAAATATTTAACAAAATAACTGTTTTAATTGTTTTAATTAATTATTAACTCTAATCTAAAATCTAATTAGAAAATATAAAAATCATGATAATGCATGAAAGCAAAACATTATTAATATTTCTAAAAATATAATGATATTTATTAACTTCAGAAAAAAAGTACAGAATACGCATAATTTTGCAGCTTTTTAATCGAGTTATGCTGCATTTTGTAACACTCTGTGAATATGTATTTCATTTCATTTTAAATGTATTGTTAATCTATTCAAAAAAAATCCTTATGGGTTTTTCGCCACTGCACTGCAAGAAAAATCTACAAAATAAAATAGTTATTTTTTGTAAACACTTCTGCGTTAAACCTAAACGGACGCTGCTTGTCAGAAGTTGTGTTTACAGTAATAAAAATTTGCCTAACAAAGAAAAAAATGCTTAACGTTTCGGAAAGTTTTCTCTTTCCGTCTTCGGAAGCAAAAAAATATAAAGAATCAAGAAAAAAAACTATTTAAAATATTTAAATTGAACTATTCGAGAACACTTTATTTTTTAAAACAGATACGTCTACAAGAAATCGTTGACGTTCTGTTAAAATGACATTATATTAAGTTAAACTTCAAAATTAACAGTTACTACCTGATAATTACTTAATAAGGTAAAACCAAAAAGCCCAAACTTTCTGTATGATTATTTTTAAATTTTACGTATGTTATGTTTATTTATGTAATGTTCTTTAAAATCAAAGAAGCGATTGCCATACATTACTAACATCTACAGATGCATGAGCAATACATTTATTTTTATTAGATTGAATTAAAAAAGCCTCTTTTATTTTTCTTTCAGAGGCTATGGCTTCTTTCATTATAATTTTAGCGTTATTAAAATTTCTTCTGTGCCCTGTGTCCCATGAATGCTGACAAATCTTAGATTTGTGGATATCTCTTTCTTAAATAATCTTTATGTTTTTCTTAAATAATCCCTTTCTTAAATAATCTTTATGTTTTTTAATTCTAACATTTAAGGGTCTAGATGTTTCACCAATGTAAAATTTATCGCATTCACAGGGTATTTGATATATTACATTTTTCGTTTGTTGTTCTGTATTCATTGGTTTAGTATGTGATAAAATTGATCTAAGTGTATTTTGTGTTTTGAAAGATGTTTGTATGTTATATTGTTTTCCTATCCTTCTTATTTTTTCCGAAACGCCTCGTATGTATGGAATTGTAAGTTGTATATATTGTGTATTGTTATCTTTGTGTCTATGATTTGGGGTTTGTATTTCGTTTAATGTTTTGTCAATAAAATATGGTGGATAGTCGTTTTTTATTAATGTATTTTTTATGTGGTTTATATCTTTGTTTAGTGAAATGTCATCTTAGATCAATTTACACACATTACATTATTACACTTAGATCAATTTTATCACATACTAAACCAATGAATACAGAACAACAAACAAAAAATGTAATATACCAAATACCCTGTGAATGCGATAAATTTTACATTGGTGAAATATCTAGACCCTTAAATGTTAGAATTAAAGAACATAAAGATTATTTAAGAAAGGGAGATTTTCACAAATCTAAGATTTGTCAGCATTCATGGGACACAGGGCACAGAATAAATTTTAATAACGCCAAAATTATAATGAAAGAAGCGATAGCCTCTAAAAGAAAAATAAAAGAGGCTTTTTTAATTCAATCTAATAAAAATAAATGTATTGCTCATGCATCTGTAGATGTTAGTAATGTATGGCAATCGCTTCTTTGATTTTAAAGAAGATTACATAAATAAACATAACATACGTGAAATTTAAAAATAATCATACAGAAAGTTTGGGCTTTTTGGTTTTACCTTATTAAGTAATTATCAGGTAGTAATTGTTAATTTTGAAGTTTAACTTAATATAATGTCTTTTTAACAGAACGTCAACGATTTCTTGTAGACGTATCTGTTTTAAAAAGTAAAGTGTTCTCGAATAGTTCAATTTAAATATTTTAAATAGTTTTTTTTTTCTTGATTCTTTATATTTTTTTGCTTCCGGCGACGGAAAGAGAAAACTTTCCGAAACGTTAAGCATATTTTTCTTTGTTAGGCAAATTTTTATTAAATTATTAACAAAATATAACTATTTTATTTTGTAGATTTTTCTTGCAGTGCAGTGGCGAAAAACCCATAAGGATTTTTTTGGATAGATGAATCCGCCACATAGGTATAGACATTTTTTACATTTAATACATCATATTTCTAACTCATCAAAATGTTTAAATTAAAAGTATCATATCATATTCTATCTCTAGAGAATAATGGAATCTATAACTTAAATATTGAAAAAATGCACTAAATTTATACAGGGTTTCTCACCGTAGCCGTTCGTTAGAAGTTTTTGAGGTTAGGAAAAACTTAGAAGTTTGAAATTTTGAGACTTAGGGTTATTTAAAATTTCCTTTCATATAAAAATATTTTCAAGGTCATACCACTTCCGGTTACACCGGAAGTCGCCATTAACTTCCTTATTTCAAATAGAACACCCTGTATATTATTTAATTTTTGGATTTCTCAGAAAATTTTATGATGAGTTTCATTAGATTTCCCTATACCTATTTTCAACTGTTTCTCAGATATCTTGATTTATTTGAAAATTTTTACATTTTTACCCCTATTTTTAACAGTGGGTCTTTTCTCATTTTAAATTGGTGATAAACGCTTCTGCGGTAAACTGGAGCAGAGGACTATTACTTTCGAAGTCCATATTGACAACTAATTTATCTCATACAGGGTGTCCAAAATTCGATAACTGATTAGATTATTTTCAAACTCAAAAAAGTCCATTTTTTCAAATGAGACACCCTATATATTTGTCGATAGTTGGATGCAGAATTTAATTCTGCATCGATTTGCTATAACTTTCCCTATAACCATTTTCAACGGTTTTCTTTTTAATCCGTATATTTTACTTTAATTCAATTTTTGGCAGAATCGACAATATCGTTTGTGTTTTTTAAAATAAAATAATTATGTTAAAGTAATGAAATTGAAAGTAATTAGAACATACGAACAAAACAGGAACAAAACGAAAGTGAAAACGTATAAAATATAACATAACATAACAAAACAAACGTATAACAGTAACGGTGAGGCATTAATAATTATTAACACTAGACGTTAGTGTATCGCTACCATAATAAAAAAAGTAAACACAATAATTACAAAAATTATTATTCGAAGTGACCGCTATGAACAAAAATTTTTGTAATTATTGAGTTAACTTTTTTTTATTATTGTAGGGATACACTAACGTCTAGTATTAATAATTAATGCCTCACCGTTACTGTTGAAAATACGTTTGTTTTGTTATGTTATGTTATGTTATATTTTATACGTTTTCACTTTTGTTTTGTTCCTGTTTTGTTCGTATGTTCTATTTACATTCAATTTCTTTACTTTAACATAATTATTTTCTTTTAAAAAACACAAACGATATTGTCGATTCTGCCAAAAATTGAATTAAAGTAAAAAATACGGATTAACAAGAAAACCGTTGAAAATGGGTATAGAGAAAGTTATAGCAAATGGATGCAGAATTGAATTCTGCATCCAACTATCGAAAAATATACAGGGTGTCTCATTTGAAAAAATGAACTATTTTGAGTTTGAAAATAATCTAATCAGTTATCAAATTTTGGACACCCTGTATGCAATAAATTAATTGTCAATATGATTTCGAAAGTATTAGTTCTCTGCTTCATTTACCGCAGAAGCGTTTATCACCGATTCAAAAATGAGTAAAAGACCGACTGTTAAAAATGTAAATCTGTAAACATTTTCAAATAAATCAAGATATCTGATAAACAGTTGAAAATAGGTATAGGGAAACCTAATGAAACTCATCATAAAATTTTCTTAGAAATCCAAAAATAAAATAATATACAGGGTGTTCCATTTAAAATAAGGAAGTTAATGGCGACTTCCGGTGTAACCGGAAGTGGTGTGATCTTGAAAGTATTTTTAAATGAAAGGAAAGGTTAAATAACCCTAAGTCTCAAAATTTCAAACTTCTAAGCTTTTCCTAACCTCAAAAATTTCTAACGAACGGCTACGGTGAGAAACCCTGTATATTTATGTAAAGACTGTTCAGACATTCACTGTTCACACAGAAATCATAAAAAATATTTTATTAGAAACATCTTTGAAACGCTCTATTAGAACTATGTGTATTATAATACCTATATTTTTTTCGTGTGCTAAAATAATTATAATTATTATAGCACTGTGCATGATATTACTCAGTATATCGAGTATAATAAAAAAAGTTTATTGAAACTAAAGTAAGTATATAAGTTGTATTATTTCTACACCTTTTTCGTAGAGGTCTTTATTCACTTCATTCTTACATGTTTAAAGTAATAATATGTATTTTTCAAATATCAAACTTGTTTTAGGAGTACGATGTGAACCTACCAGTGAACACCCATTCTATTACTGCTTAGGATGTCCTGAAGGATTTACAGGAAATGGTAGCAGATGTTATGATATTGATGAGGTAAATATTAAGAGAGATTAGTACTCAAAATTATTTTATTCTTTCTATTATTCAGTGTGATCTCGTTGAACCCTGTGCACCCAATGTAGAATGTACCAATCTTAGACCAGGATATCGATGTGGTTCATGTCCACCAGGGTATACTGGGGGAGACAGTAGAGGAGTTGGAGTAGATGAAGCTAGAAGAAACCGACAACAATGTGTAGATATAGATGAATGTTCTGAGTACAGGGTTTGTGTGGAACATTCTCAATGCATTAATACTCAGGTACATAACTGAAAATAATTTCTCACTATACAGGGTGGCGCACCTCACTCGCCTCGCTTGATTATACGAAAACAGAAAGATGTAGAAACAAAATATTTTATAGGTATATGTAGAGAGACAATGTGCATAATTTAAAATTATTTTGAAATGTACAGGGTGTGTCAGAACTAAGATCCATACCAAAGTTATATTTTTTCTTATGGAACACCCGGTATTTTATTTAATTTTTGGATTCTTGGACATAAAATAAGACGTTTATTGTAAGGGTTTAATATATCTAAAAGCCTTGGTTTTTGAGATATCAAAAGATATTTAAATATGCATGCTATAATAAAAAGGTTTGTCAACATCTTGTACATTACTTTTCAGAATTAATTCTGGTGCTCACTTTCAAGCCAGAGAAATAAACTTTACTAAAAAATTTGATTGCTTCCTTAACTGTATACCGAGGTATCAAAAATTGCTGGTCTATTTTAACTATGTATTTTACATAAAAACTTCATTATTTCAAATGTAACACTATGTATTTTTTTAAATAAGTCGAAGCAGTTTTAAATACTCTTTCTATATTAGGGTTTCCTATACCTATCTGGCTCAGATTTTGAATAAAAAGCGATTTATTCAATAAAACTGTAATCAATATGGCTGGTGTCGCCATGGTAATTTTCTGGTAACACTTAATAGCTATTTTCAAAATCGACATTAGTTTATGGACTTTATTTAAATTTATAACAGTTTACTTTTTATTTATTTTACCTACAACAGTTTAATAAGTAAGCATTTATTATTTTGTCAAGAAAAATAAAGAAGTAGTTCTTTGATTTATATTACGATGACTTATAGATATATTGGATTTTCTATATAAAAGAACCAATTGAGGCAAATTCATTTTCTTCACTTCCAACGACAGGTTTCTGCCTAATAGGTTTTTCATCAGCTCTGCGAAATAGGCAAAGTAGCTTTTCAAAAGAACGCTTATCAGGAAGATTCCTATTTGGATATCTTTGAGCATCAAGCCAACAAGCAATTGTCCTCACAAAATAAAATCACTATTAACATATGCATTCCTTCCGCCAGCAGATACTGCTTCATTTTTCTTGATAAAATAATAAATATTTACTTATTAATATTATTGTAGGTAAATTAAATAAAAATAACCTGTAATAAATTTAAATAAAGTCCATAAGCTAATGTACGATTTTAAAATAGCTACTAAGTGTCACTAGAAAATTACCATGGCGACACCAGCCATCTTGATTACAATTTTATTGCAAAATCGCTTTTTATTCAAAATCTGAGCCAGATAGGTATAGGATACCCTAATATAGTTTGCAAAAGCATTTAAATCTGCTTCGACTTATTTAAAAAAATACATAGTGTTGTATTTGAAATAACGAAGTTTTTATGTAAAATAAATAGTTAAAATAGACCAGCAATTTTTGATACCCCTGTATACATTTAAGGAAGCAATCAAATTTTTTAGTAAAGTTTATTTCTCTGGCTTGAAAGTCAGCACCAGAATTAATTCTGAAAAGTAATGTACAAGGTGTTGACAAACCTTTTTATTATAGCATGCATATTTAAATATCTTAAAATATCTCTAAAAAACGAAAGCTTTTAGACATATTAAACGCTTATAATAAATGCCTTATTCTATATCCAAGAATCCAAAAATTAAATAAAATACCGAATGTTCCATAAGAAAAAATATATTTCATTATACATTACAAAATAAATAAATAAATAAAATAAATAAATAAATAAATAAATAAATAAATAAATAAATAAATAAATAAATAAATAAATAAATAAATAAATAAATAAATAAATAAATAAATAAATAAATAAATAAATAAATAAATAAATAAATAAATAAATAAATAAATAAATAAATAAATAAATAAATAAATAAATAAATATAAATAAATAAATAAATAAATAAATAAATAAATAAATAAATAAATAAATAAATAAATAAATAAATAAATAAATAAATAAATAAATAAATAAATAAATAAATAAATAAATAAATAAATAAATAAATAAATAAATAATAAATAAATAAATAAATAAATGCCTTTATTGTCAAAAAAATTTTCAATTTGTGGACAAAGGTAAACTAACAAACAAAGTAAAAAAAACAAGGTACACAAACAAACAAACAAAAGATAATACAAAACATTATACAAATAATATTGTCAGTCTTATTGTTAAAATAAACATATATAAATGTTTACAATGTCAAAGAACAAAAAAAATTAAAATAATATTCAAAAATATTTAGCCAATTTATAGCAAAATATCAATGACCTCTAAATAAATTAATTTCGATGTCATTCGTAAATATAGCAATAGCAAACATTAGACCAGTGTTTTCAAGATCAAATTCGATTTTCAATTCAAATATAATTCATTTACGGCGTAGAAAGCCTTGTCTAGTAAATAAGAGTTCAATGATAAAAATGATGTTATGGATTTGATTTCAAATGGCAGGTGATTGTGCATTTTTTTCGAGTTGTATAATATTGAACTTTTAACTAACTCTGAGCGTGGGGTAGGTAGATAAAGATCTTGCTCCGCGTTCCTGAGTGGATAAGTGTGAGATGGCCTTTCTTGAGAAGCTGATACATGTTTACGTATTAGGCAAACGGATTCAAATATAAATAAGGAAGGAAGAGTCAATATTTTTAATTCTCTAAAAAAGCCCCGGCAATGAGTTCTGCTGTTTAGTCCCAGTGAATATCGAACAGCTCTATTCTGGAGCACAACTCTCTTCTGGAGCACAACACGTACCCCAGAATGGAAGGGCATACCTGAGGTGCGACTCAAAAAGTGCATAATAAACAGTTCTAGCCACTGACAAGTTAAGCTCCTTAGAAACAGACCATAATGCAAAACAGGCAGAGCTCAATTTTTTCGACAAAGCTTCGATATGTATGTCCCATTTCAGAGAATTGTCCACAACAAGCCATAAGAATTTTACGGATTTTACGACGTCAATGGTGGTGTTGTCAAGTACAAAAGGCTACAACGAGTTTTTATACGACAAAGCCTTAGTTTTAGAAATGTTGAGACTCAGGAGGTTCGTATCGCACCAAGATTTAATGGTGATTAAGTCATTTGATATAATCCTATGAAGTGCCGCGATGTCCTTGTTGCTCCAAGTGAAGCTAGAGTCGTCCGCAAAAAGACATATTTTGCCACTGATGTTTATGTTAGCAATGTCGTTAATAAAAAGAAGAAACAAAATAGGGCTAAATAAAATAATAAAAAAAATAATTTTAAATTATGCACATTGCCTTCCCACATATACCCATAAAATAGTTTGTTTATACATCTTTCCGTTTTCGTATAATTATCCGAGGCGAATGAGGTGCCCCACCCTGTGAAAAAGAAAGAAAGTTTATATTAGAAGAATATAAACTTTTTAAATCTGAATTTTGAGTTGGATTTATTTAAAAAAAACATAATTTGCTTTAATATTACGAGTATTTGAGATTGTTTAAATCGTAATATAAATAGAATTACAGATATAACATTAAATCATACTTAAATAGGAACTACGAAACATTCGTTCTAATTCAGTCCATGAAACTTGTGCACGGTCTCAGGAATTGACTGTTGGAGCAACAAATCTATGTGATTCTCAGTAAAATCATCTGCTCATTTATTATCACTCTGATTTAGTCACTCTAAACCGTTGTTACTTACACACAGATGTTCATTTGGTGGACTTGTGAAATTTAAACGGCGCGCCATAATTTTTCAACCAAAAAGGAAGCAGAGATCACATTTTGATATATCAATACTAAATAATTTTACATATACCGAGAAATTGTGTCATATTTCTATATATTTTAGTCTAGAAAGACATGTAGAAAACATGTTTTACTTTAAATAATTCTGATTTTTACACATTTTTACACTATTTTTGGTCCGTAAAAATACCAGGTATTTGCCGAACCCCTCTTTCTCTTCCACGTGAGTTTTCAAGGGGGGTCAAGCCAAACTTTGGCTTGACGCCTCCCCATTGATTCTCTCACGTAATGGACGCCCCTTAAGAATATATTATCAAATTTTATTTCAAATTCATAACTAGTTTATCTATGAGACGCAGTTCTTTGTAAATGTCAATACGTACAATGGTAGAGAATAAAAATCGTAACATACCTGTTTTTGATATTTTAGGGTTCTTACAGATGTGGAGAGTGTGAGTATGGCTATTACGGAAATCAATCGGTAGGTTGTCATCAAGGGAAGGTTATTGTCGTAGTGGAGTTCGATGTCATAGTAGAGCCGAATGCGTTAGTCTAGGTAAATAAATTAACATTACAGCACACATATCTTAAATAAATACTCATAGAATAAAAAGTAATGTTGATAATATGATTATAAATTCATTGTAAAGAGTACAGATGTCCCATTTTCATGTGTTTAATGGGATTTCTCTTTTATGAGTAGAGATACAAGTTTTTCACATCACTTTTCTACTATTTTATGATACTTAACTTCATTCAGAACGTAGCAATTAGTGAAATAAATTAATGGTTTCAATTAGCGTACAAGTTTGGTTTGGTTGCGAGGTACTGAATGAAGCTTAAGGACGACACACACAATCTGTGCACTGGAGTTTTATAATAACTATTGCAAAAGCAAAAATATTTTATTTTTCTAGGTGGCGGTGAATACACTTGCCAGTGCGTCACAGGATACGCTGGCAATGGAGAATATTGTGCATTTGATCGTGATGCAGATAGCTACCCTGATACAGAGTTGCCATGTCGAGAAAAACATTGTAGACAGGTAATTTACTAATTTTACCCAAAATACTTACAATCTAAATAAATGTTACAATAGAAAGTTATTTTCAATTTTAGTTCTGGACAATATTTTTATTAATTATTTATTTTAGGACAATTGCCCACACACTCCCAATTCTGGACAGGAGGATACCGATGGTGATGGAATTGGAAATGCTTGTGATCCAGATCCAGACGGCGATGGAATTGAACGTGGTGTAAGTTAGAAAAATTCAATGTGTTTGGTATATTGTTATTTATGTTGCTTAATAACATTGCAATGACTGATATAATAGTAAAGTTGACTTTCAACAAAATTTTATTTAATATTCGTAACTAGTGTATCTATGAGACGCATTTCTTTATAAATGTCAAGACGTATAGTTTTGCAATAGAAAAAAAAAAGTAAAACAGCATTGTATAGAAATCATATAACGTTTTAATTTTTTAGTAGACAAATCTGAAAAAATAAAGTTGCTCTTTTATTTTTATATTGTTATGTTTCAGTGAAGAAATAATCCCTCACATACTTACAGACCTTATTTACAGTTTACTTTGTTTTTCAGTATAATTTTATTAAAAAAATACAGTGATTGCAGTTGATAGTTTAATTTGGTTTGAAAACGTAGATTTCCCAGGAAATTACAGTCAACGGGTGTCATTTTATTGAAAAAAATTGAAACTCGATAACAATAATAGTGTCATCAGCAGATGATGATTTTTTTAAAACTATTAAGTTGTTGACATCATCCGCTGATGGTACTAACATAGTTAGAGAAACATATGTCTAAAGTTTAAAAATAAAATATTTTGGTAAATTTATGTACGTAATTTGTTATTAAAAAGTATAGTAAACTTTAGATGTATTAACTGAGCCAAAAAATGTAGTATCTTAGGAAGACTTAACTGTTTGGAATATATTTTCTTGCTCCTGTTTTAAGATAATTCTTAAATAGGTATTAGAAATATATAATTAACTTTTCTAACATGTATATTTTTTTAAAGGATAACTGCCCTCTTCATAGAAACCCCCGACCAACGTGATTCTGAAACAGATCCAGATAGAGTTGGAGATGTGTGTGATAACTGCCCATTGGTTCCTAATCCAGATCAATCAGACATTGATCGAGATGGCTTAGGAGATGTCTGTGATCCTGACATGGACAATGATGGTAAGTTTTTCTATCTGACAAAGAAGTTACATACATTTCTAATGAAATACATACAATCAACCACACACCAAGTGTACTGTTTTCACACACTTATAACGTTTCATTCATATGATTTATTCATTTTGAAATTATCTATTTGGTAATTTCAAACTAATGAGCATTTCGTTATTTGCAGGAATCAGAAATGAAGATGACAATTGTCCAAGAGTAGCCAATCGTGATCAAATCGATAGTGATCGAGATGGTCTTGGAGATGCTTGTGATAACTGTCCACGAATTTACAATCCCCGACAGGAAGATTCCGACGATGACAGAGTTGGTGACCTATGTGACAGTCCAGAAGATACAGATAGGTAAATAGTATATAGAAAATGATAACACAAAAATTGTAGACGCTAAAATTTACAGAAGTTTGATCTTGAGTTTGATTGCAAAGAGTTTGATCATGCTACTATGCTCATTACTTAGTAATGTCATTAAGTTTATTACCAGCAACTTTAAAATAAGTATAGATTTTTTCTAAACACTTAAATATTATTGAATATTTTAAATCTTAAACATAAACTCACCGGCAAAAAAAACCGGCCACTAAAGACTAGACCCAATTTCAAAGTTGGATTTCTCGCGAACCACTCATTAGATTTTGATGATTTTTTTTTTGAAATTGTAAATTAATTCCTTTTTAACGGATGGTACGTCAGAAATTTTTATTCCGAATTTATTTTGAGTATATACAAGGCACAACAATAAGACGAATAAGTTTAATTTTTTTTAAACAATAAGTTTTTTGCCCGAACTTTGTAACACCCTGTAGGGTGCAGCAGCGGTAGTAGCTATTGCTAAATTAAATCACATTGTAGCCTCATCTTTTGTGAGCATTTTGTTTTTTTAATCACCACAATATCTCTTTTTGTATTGGAGATATGCTGTTTTAAAATGAACGTCTCGGAAAAATGCTTCGCATGCAGAAAGTTTTATGTGTATAAATAATAAAGGCGACATAGGCGAAAACGGATTTATGAGTATTTGCAATATGAAAAAAACGGTTGGCAAATTAAAAAATGCCATCTGTAACGGCTGTTGCTCGTATTGTGGCTTTAATTGAGGATGGCCGAAGTCAACGTTATGTCTCTGATACCCTGGGTATATTTCGAACAACAGTCCAGGATACCTGGTGTCGGTATATGGAAACGGGAAATTTCACCAGGGGAATGGACACTACATATTAGTCCCTTAAAATTTCTTTACCTTTTTTTTTAATTTTTATATTTTAGTTAATTTTCAGGTTAAACTTACCTACGTTCTGCTGTTTGATTTGTTTTTAAAGCTTTTTCGAGGCGTTTGTTTTAAAGCAGCGTATCTCCAATATAAACAGTCGTCAATGTCGTAATTAAAAAAACAAAATGCTCACAAAAGATGAGACTACAATGTGATTTGATTTAGCAATAGCTACTACAGCTGCTGCAACCTACAGGGTGTTAAAAAATTCGTCTTATTGTTGTGCCCTGTATATGCTTAAAATAAATTCGGAATAAAAATTGCTGACGTAGCATCCGTTAAGAAGGAATTAATTTACAATTAAAAAAATCATCAAAATCTAATGAGTGGTTCGCGAGAAATCCAACTTTGAAATTGGGACTAGTTTTTAGTGGCCGGTTTTTTTTGCCAGTGATTGTATTTTTACATATATTTAGGGATGGTGTAGGTGATGATAGAGATAACTGTGTTCACAAGGAAAACCCTGACCAGAGTGACATTGACAGGGATGGGGTTGGTGACGTTTGTGATGACGATATTGATGGAGATGGCATTGTTAATCACAGAGACAATTGTCCATTGGTATATAACCCGGATCAGTTGGACACGCAGCGTGAGTATATTATTTCTAAATATTTAATAAAACAAAGCAGTAATCGTTTGAAGATTTTCGAGATATCGATTTTTGAATTCAGAGTCGAACACCAACACAATTCCGCTTATATTTTTTTACCAAAAATTCCAGTGTTTCTAACTTGCACTTAAAAATGTTCAAGCTAGAGGGAAAATTACAACGACTTATTAAAAAATAAACAAATAAAGTATCACGAGGCGTAATTAAATTGTAAATCATAAAATTGTACAAAACGACAAATTCTCGGTTTATTTCATACATTTCGCAACGTGTTCTCTCTTTGTTCAGTACATTATAAACGCATTGTACTCTTCTTCTATACGGAAATTTCGACCCAAAATTAACCTTTACCAGTCCTTAGTTAGGCCAGTCATTTAAGACATCCCACATTGCAAACGGGACTGTATCTACTATTTTTTTATATATTGTTAAGACCCATGAGACTAAGTTATGCCCAATTTTGCAAACCTCAGAACCCTGTGGTACTCTCGTGATACTCAAAAAACCTCAAAATTTTGGTACTTATTTCAGTTTTTTTTTGACAAAACTGTATTAAGAAAGCATTTTTCAAATTTAATTGTTTTATACTTTTATAAAGTCAACTAAATTTTCTACAATTTAAGCCCAACCCGAACCCTCTAGGCCAATTCATTGTTCAAATACAGCCAAAGGTCGGCAATTTTTTTGAAAAACTAAAAATTTATGAGTACGGTCACATTCCAAAGCACGTATCGGCTAAACTAATGGCTCTAGGGAAAAGTTATGAGAAATAGAGTTGTAGAGAATTTATTCAGCTTTAATTTGATGTAAGAATGAGGCCGCTAGGCGTCGTATTTTGCTCAAAAACCAAAATATAGTAAAACATTGAAGTTTGGGGGGTCTCATGAAAACATATATTTTATTAAACATATTTAAAAATAAACAACACAAATATAATATGTATAAACTATAAAATATAATAAAAAAGCCCTACTTTACTTGGTCTTCTTATAAGGACTGGGCCCCATCCATTCCGAATCAGTCGGAGAGGGAGGAAGAGGAGGAGGAAGGACATTCTCTGACGATCGAGGTGGGTCCTCATATGTTAAATCGTTCAATTCCTCGTCCTCCTCATCCAATATGATGGGAGCAACGTTGTTGCAGCTTCGCCCTTGGCAAAAGAAACAGAGGAGAACTTCAGTCCTGCTTTTCTGCAAGTGCAGGAAGGATCCTGCACTTGCACTGCTGTTTGCTGCATAGGAGCAGCCTTTCTTGCATCTGCTTGCAACCATCTTAAGAAGGTTTTGAGGGGCTCTGCACGCATAGTTATTGGCATAAGACCCTGTTGACTGGTGGTCCATCTCCAGTCGAATGGATTTTTCTCGACCCCCCCCCGCTGTTCAGCGTGCCCTGATCCCCTCCATAGAGGTTCAACAAAATCTTCTCGCCAGCATTTCCTACTTCTTCCTGCGTCGAGTTTGGATCAAAGAAAATGGTGGCGACGTCTATCCAGAGTGGGGATTTTTTTTGTAGACATTCGCACCACTTCATTTTGCCTTGCCAGAAAAGAGCAGAAGTGGTGTCACACCCACTGCATGCAGAAACAAAACCATCTCTCCTGGAAGCTGCATTTTTCCGCTTAAAAAGAATTTGCCTCATATTGAGCGCACTCAGATCCACCTCTACCGCCTTTCTGGAAGTGGAGGTTTGTTTGTCCACAGCACAAGTCATTTAGGAGGGCCAGTAAATCAATATCCTCCCCCATGATAAAAACTTGTTCGTACGATGAGCTCTTGGAGAGGGCGGTTCTCACTATCTCAGCATCGGCGTATTCTGGTGATTGATATACCTCGATACCTTGTATCTGAAATTCGGTACACATCATGGTGATCAGTCGGTGTTTGTTTGCATAGGAGAGCACTTTTGCTTGAGGCACTTTGATGAGCACTTCATCAAACAAAATGTCACCACAGGAAAGAGAAGAAGATCGCCGCAGACGTTCAGCTGATTTAGTGTTTTTCATAGCCGCATCTTCTGGGTATCCATCAAAAACAACTGCAACATTTTTACCAAAGTAGTTTAAAACGTAGCTGACGTATCCAGCCACAATATCTCTGACGAATAATTTCGATGCCAGACTACCAAAACGCCTTGTTTCCTGGGATAATGTTTTTAGCGAGCATTGTAAATGCTGAAAATAGTATGAAGATTTAGTACCCTTGCGCATTCCTTCTTCGGTGAACAAGGACAACGGATATGGTGCTAGCTCATAAGCAAAATGCTGCTTCAATTGCTCATCGGATTGTTTGGTGATGCAGACCCTCTGGAATATGGTGAGAGGATCAACATTAACTTTTTTATCCAACACTTTCACAGAGGTGGTGACTGATGCCAAGGTCTTCACTTTTCGTTTTTCAGAAAAATACACCTAGCGGCCCTATTCTTACATCAAATTAAAGCTGAATAAATTCTCTACAACTTTATTCCTCATGACTTTCCTCTAAAGCCATTAGTTTAGGCGATACGATATTTTTAGTTTTTCAAAAAAATAGCCGATATTTGATTGGCTGTATTTCGACAAGGAATTAGCCTAGAGGATTCGGGTTAGGCTTAAATTATAGGAAATTTAGTTGACTTTATAAAAGTATAGAACAATTAAATTTGAAAAATGCTTTCTTAACATAGTTTTTTCAAAAAAACTGAAATAAGTACCAATTTTAACGTTTTTTGAGTATCACGGGAGTAGCACAGGGTTTTGAGGGTTGCAAAATTGGGCATAACTTAGTCTCATAGGTCCTAACAATATATTAAAAAATGGTAGATACAGTCCCGTTTGCAATGTTTGCAAAGTTTTTTAAATGTCTTAGATGACTGGCCTAAGTATGTATTTAAACCGTTCATAAAATAAGGCGACAGCGAACGGCAACATTGTTGGGTATGCGAGTTGAATAGTGGGACGTAGAAGCTAGTGAGATAACTTACGGGATAGATACGGGACAACACCGGTATCAGGTCTAAGGAGAGACCAAGTTAAAGAGGTGGAGAAAATGGAGACAGATCCTCCAGCCTCCACCTCTCGGATTCCTCAGCCGGAGGCAAGCTCCTCGACTGTGAAGAGCGGCACGGAGGGCCAAACTCCAACCGTGGAAGGGTGTGTACCCTCGGAGGAAGAACTGTTGTCAGAGGAAGATGGGAAATACCCTGTCCCCTCTACAACACGGGTATGATGGGTCATAGATTGTGCGATGACTCAAGGAAGGGGGCGCAATAGATCTTTAAGGTCGCAGCCCCCCCTCTTACGCATTCTACATTCTACATTCTAGTGAGATAACTTTAGGCCCATATTTATAGTCGCGTCTTGAATCTGGGTCTCAGAAAAGACCGACAAAATAGCAGATACTAAGATAACTATTTGAGTGTATGCGGGCGACGAAACGAGGTGCAATGCACACTGAACGATCGTCAGGCGTGGACGTGGCACAGACTTATGTCGCTTCTACGTCTCTTCTATGTAATTCAATGATCCAATGCACACAGAGGAGACGTGGCGCCAGAGAAATAGAAGGGATAGAGAATGAGCGTCAACATGCGCAGAAGGTCTAATCAAGTTGGGCGCCATATTCTAGGTCTCCGTGTCATTTTGTATATAGGTGGTAATCTATAAGTAATCAAATATCAATTTGCTGTTTTCAACCATACGGGCGGCAATTTAAATTTAGTGAAATTCTATCATTTATTATGGTTAGATAACATTAACACAGACATTAATATGATTTATTTAATTATCATCAGTTTCAAAACTGCGTACAATATTGGTATATAATACACTAAATATACGATTATTCTGACAAAAGACGCTAAGGACAGATGACCTTTTCTTAGTCGTTAAACACTCAAAATGCCATTAAATAAGTAGGTATTTTCAATTATTTCATGTTTACTTGTACGCGTTTCAATTTAAAATTTTTGCAAATTTGGTAAAAATTGTTCTAAACAACTTTTTGTTCAAGTTGTATATTCATAAAAAACATTTGGTTCATAATTATTTTTGATAATTACCTACCTTGTATTTTTAATATAAACCTAGAAAAAATATGTTTTTGTTTTATTTTTTTTATTCGTCCCTTCAAATTGTGTACAAAAACTGTTACATAACATGTCCTCTAACAAATATTTTCATAATACATAAACATCATTGATTTTATTAAGGGTATTATTAGTATTTATCCTGGTTTTTGTCGACAATAAAAACTCAATCTTGTAATAGAACATCAATTTTATATTTCGTAAAATTATTTTGATACAAATTCAATTTGTCAAAATTCAAGTCATTAATATATTGATAAACAACCCAAATTATTCCTAAATATTTTATTATAAAAAAAACTGTTACCGGTAAGTTTGTAAAACACATTATGGTTTGTCTTAATACTAGAAAAAATCATTTATTTTTTGCACAAAAGTAGCTTGTCGATCCTTATTTATCCATAACAAAATTCTGTATGTACAACATACATATACCTAATTTATTATTAAGAAAATTAGATTATATGATCTCAGAATTTTAAGAACATTTTTTTAAGATAGAATAGTTTCTTCTCAACTGTTAATACTTTGGCCTGTATTTTATCTATTTAGAAACATGGGATTGACAATCCCTTTACTAAAATACATACTGGAAGGTACTGATTAAGTTTCATTGCATCAAATACCTTTGCTATAAATCCTGGCTCACAATTTAAAGCCATTGCAAAATGCTTTTGAACTTCATCATAGATTTTACAAGAATAAAAGTGTAATATTGAAACAAAGTAAACATTGTAAGCTTCATGACTAATAGTCTCATTTTAACACTCTTTAAATATCATCTCGTTAACAATTATGAATATTATATGATTTTTTCAGTGATTTGTGGCACAAATACAAATTAATGGCATATATTAATTTGTCGCAACCAAACCATAACAGTTTTTTAAATAAGAAACTTCTGCCTACAGATTTAATTTTCTTATTGGCATAATACCCTTTCTTCCTATATAAATCTTGCCATTTTTCAGTCCAATGTTCCTTGTTTTTTACAGTTGTAGGAATACTAAAAATGTTGACTATAGAACTCGATACTATGTTTGAAAAAGCCTTCATACCTGTAACTGTGCATAAATCTAATTAACTGAATTCTTCTCCTTTTGGCACTCTGAACACTACTGCTGCTAATGTTAGATATTTCTAAATATTTTTAGCACAAAACTACAACTGCCTACAACAAACTTTACAATAAAAATGTTAAATTTTCGCTGTTCGATTGAAATACCAGTAAATACCCTATCTTATGTTTTCTTTTCCTCCAAATAATCTTCTTGTCAAGTAAGGACCAATCTTATTTGACATATTTCTGGTACACTTGAACTTGTGCTTTCATGGACACTATAAGAGTGCACTGTTTTACAGAAGCACGAACATTGATTCCAAGTATCTTCTTCCTCCACACGTTATAAAAACATCCTCTTTAAATGGCCACATCATACACTTATTTTTGATCATTACCAATTACAATCACGATTTTTACAAATCGCCTTTAGGAAAACTAAAAATAAACAGTTTTGGATCATCTGTAAACACGATTATGTTGTATAAACTTACACATGAAAACTAATCATTTTATCCAGCGTATTAGCTTTCTTAGAATGACTATGATAATATACAACAAGCCTTTTTGAATTAGTGTTTAGAATAATTAGATAATAATAAATTTTAACTAGATAACAACACAAACGAAAAAAAAACAAAACAAACAGATGTCAATTAAAGAGGGGAAGTGACAGCGAGACCGGGAAGATGTCTGCCATCTTGCCGTCGACAAAAATTTGGATGCGCACTCGTCGAAGCTCATTCTCCCACTTCCATATCTCTGCGTGGCGCTCACGGCCGCCATCCCGCCTCTGCCACGTCCGGTCCCCTTCCCATCGCTCGTGGCGTATAGGAACAGGCACGTCCGTTGAACGACACTTGAATTTATTCAGATTCGTGAGGAAGTTGAAGCATAACGTTGAATGTTCCACCCGTTTTCCCCTTCTTTAGCCACAGTGGATGAACCCAAAATTGTCTGTTTTTTTGTACATTAGCCAAGTACACCAAATCCAATATATCTTCATCAGAACTTGAAATATCCATGTTCTAACCTAGTCGGTAATTACAGTTGTAGCCAAAACTATGACTCTTTTGGAGTTGTAGCCAAAACTATGAACTTCACCTCTCCGTTCCTAACTGACCGAAATTTTTCGTCACTACCCTGCCCCTTCTGTGTGGATTGGCATACGTCACATCTCCGCCGCGTCCGTGTCCCGTCTTTGCCACGTCCCACACTGCTTCGAACATAGGGCTCTAGAGGACAAAAATGCAAAACTTCTCTTTTATTGTAGGCAATTTATTCAAACTAGGTTTATTTGACACAAATGATGAGTACTCTCATTGTACTAAATGATGATGTTCTTAGTCCCACGTTTATGAAAAAATAATTTATAAATAAAAAAATGTTGGAGCTGTGTTCCATCTAAGGAAATTATAATTTATAGTATGAAAACGGTGTAAGTATTAAATAAATCTCTGTGATAAAAAAGAATTGAAATAACATTAGAACATGATTCCTACAATATAAGCCTAATATAAGATAAAAATGTTTTTCTTTAATGAAAAAGAAAAACATTAATGATATATTTAATTAAAAAAAAAACTTAAGATACTATAAATTTACTTTAGGACAACAAAACGCATAGATCGTAACTACTCTGATTCAGAAGAATCACTGCAGACAGAATCTTCCAAATTTATAGTATCCAAATCACAGGTAGATGAAATATCCTCACATATAAGATATTTCTGTACATCATTTTCTAATATGTTACTTTTTCGCGTTGTTACTGTTCTTTTTGTTGGTATGAGGGGTTCGGATGTTAATAGTTACCTCTTTAATAGACCATATCCATATATTATTTTTTCCTTTTCTTGGGTATGAGGTTTTATAATAAATTGAAAGATGGAAACTTTTTTTATGCGACGTTTCGCTCCAACATAGTGGGCTTTCTCAGGCACAAGTGGTGTCTCATTTGACTAGAAGGTTCATCAATATCTAATAAAGAACACATTTTTTGAAATACAAATAATTTTGAGTTCTTGTGCTTATGATCAAGCCAAGTATTAACCAGATCGGCATTGCTTAACAATTTTACTCTATCTGAAAAGTATTATAAAATAAAGTTCGTCGCAAGCAGACGCAGGTGAACTATACAAAATTTAAAAGTGTATGAATATGACAATAAAAATATTCAATAAATACGATATGTTTTGATATGCCTTTTTGAAGTTTGAAAACGTAAAATTTTTATACCCATTTAAGAATCATTTTAAAATATAAATAAAAACTAAACAATCACGAACTTGTTTAGAAATAAAAATTTAAAGTACATACCTCGTTTAACAATATCCATAGTGGCTTTCAATTAAGTACATACCGTTTAACTCCATATACAGAACTACTATGAATGTTATTCTTTTCACTGATTTAAGATAATGATCGCAAAATTTATTTTTAGTGAAAATATTTGCTAACAAAAAACGCTGTTTATGAAAAATAATATACAGGATGGTTGAACATCGCTATAAGCCTTGTTTATATCTATAAGTATAAAATTACATATTCAGATATTAGTAAATTCCATGGGACGAAGCACTGTGCGTCCTCGCCCACGTCCTTTCAGTGTGAATTGCACCTAAGACTGTTAGTAAGCCTGTTATTTTCGTCGGCCTCTTGCATTTCGTGACTGGAGTCGCGGTTTGAGACTCGACTATAAATGCGGGCCTTATTTTTGAAAATGACGAACATTTATTCAATTCACGGAACACTTATTCTTTTAGGTGACGGTGTTGGTGACGCTTGCCGAAACAACACCGACGGCGATCCGTACCCCAACCGGTACGACAACTGCCCCAACAACTCCCTGATCTACAGAACCGACTTCAGCAAGTACCAAACAGTCGTACTCGATCCCGAGGGCGAGTCCCAAATCGATCCCCACTGGGACATATACAATAATGGCGCAGAGATTGTTCAAACGATGAACAGCGATCCTGGTCTGGCTGTAGGACACGATAAGTTGTTTGGTGTTGATTTTGAGGGCACGTTCTTTGTCGATACTGAGATCGATGATGATTATGTTGGATTTATTTTCAGGTAAGGACTATATTAGACCTACAATTGAAAAATATTTTTACAAGATTCAGAGTGGTCCCAAATAAATAAAAAATATTAAAGTTGTATTTTTTTTAAACGGAACACCCTATATATTATTACGTACATTTTTAGTTTCTACGGTTAAAATAAAGGTAAATTTGATTAACATTTACAGCGCTTTAAATAAAAATGCAGTAATAATTTTAATGCTTCATTTCTTTAGGCAAATTTAAGTTTTTAAAACCAAATATTATACCGAAGTTTAGGTTATGTATACCCTGTACACCACTTACAAATGTTTGTCAAGTACACGAGTCGTGAGAACGCGCCATAATAAACAAACTCAGATTTCTTAGTATTTGGAGCAATTATGAATCAACAAATCGATGGAATCAACGCAAATAGCCAGTTAATGTAATTCGAATACTGGAATCACATTAAATTGGTCCTCTTTTACAAATATTTAAATAGTTTTTATATTTTAAAGAAATAAGCGAACTATATCGTCAATATTAGTATCTGTAATCTTTGAAAATTTGTTATATTTTTAAAAATAATCTAAAATATCAATATTCAATGAGTATATATTGTTACGTTTTTCGTCGATTCCGTGTGGATAGAAAGTCACAATTTATTTAAACACTATTTATTTAACACTAATTAACAAAAACAATAACGATAAAAGACTTATAGAACTATTTACAAACGATTTATAACTAAGAATTTATTTTGAATTTTAGCGCGTCAACTGCACTGGTATATTTATAACTGCCCTCTCTAGGCCACTGCCGCCGGCTTTTATACCTACAGCAAAAGAAATCTAGAATAGTCCATATATCGTTAGGCGCATAGAGGCTCGCAACACTGCCCCCTTCTTAGGCACATGCTCGTCCCGAGATGTATACGGTGAATGAAGGTATTTGCAAAGCTGGCCCCTGGTACATTGCGAAGTCTGGTAGAAATAGCAGTCTACAGTTTTCTCTCCCGATCTCAGCTTTGGGTTGTAGCAACAAACGAGGATCTCGATTCCCGTAAATCTGAACAAGACTTCAATCATGTTCCGGATTGTACGCCAACTCAAACCATCGAGTCCACACGCCAGCTTCGGAATGGCTAATCGTGCAATGTTGTTGTTTAGCAGGGCTTCTCTCAGTTCAATCAGGGTCTTCCATAGATTGAGATAAGTCGGCTTACTCGGGGACCATTCCTTGGTGACCAGGTAGAAGATGTGCCTTGCTTGACCATGTGCATTGTCGGTTAGCCTCAAGACGCTTCCAACCTCTGGATCCTGTCGGCGTAGTTCTCCGACACGCCCAAACTTCTCATTGAACGTCGCAGCGATTCCTCTGGACATCCGCAAATCTCGAGCCACACAATGAGCGAGCGAATAATCAGGAGGCACGGAAAAGAGGTCTCGTTGATCTTCTTTGGTTACACCATAGCGAGCCTTCTCACTGCTGTTGTATCGGGCCATGAAATCGTCAAAGGACATCTCCGAATCAGGGGGATCAAAGCTGCAGGTTCTCACGGTCCCAGCACGATCTTCTATTTCGCCTTGGTAGGGGCTCAAACGGTTGAAATGGACTACCCTCGGTTTTCCTTTTGGCAATTTTCTGATACGGTATACGACGTCATTAATTCTATCCATGACTTCGTATGGCCCTTCCCACGAGGATTGTAGCTTCGGAGATAACCCACGACGTCTCTGCGGGTTATATAGCCACACCAACTTCCCTGGTTGGTATCCTCCATGCTCAGCTTGAATGTCGTAGTGTTCCTTCATTCGGTCACTAGCACTTTGAATATTTAGGCGGACTCTCTGATGAATGTCGTCCATCCTTTGACGTAGTGTGTGGACATAATCTTCTCCGGCGACTTCTTCTCCCGGTCGGCAACCAAATTTCAGATCACAGGGTAGGCGCACTTCCCGTCCCATAACGATGCTGGCTGGAGTTTGCCCTGTAGATTCTTGGACGGATGAACGGTAGGCCAACAGGAACAGGTGAAGAAATTTGTCCCAGTCTCTTTGGTGGTCAGAGACTACTTTGGCCAGATAACGGTTGATAGTTCTGTTCATGCGTTCAACCATCCCATCGGATTGTGGATGTAGAGCAGTCGTCCTGGTCTTGCGGATGTTCAGGACTTCACAGACGCCTTGGAACAGATTGGACTCAAAGTTTCTTCCCTGATCTGAATGAAGCTCCATGGGAACACCAAACCTGCAGATCCATTCTTTAACAAGGGCATCAGCAATCGTGGACGCTTCTTGATTTGGCAACGCGTAGGCCTCGACCCATTTGCTGAAGTAATCCATTACTACCACAATGTATTTGTTGCCATCGTTCGTCTCCGGGAAAGGACCAGCCACGTCGATCGCTATTCGTTCGAAGGGACTACCAACATTGTACTGGCGCATAGGGGCTTTACCACGCTTTTGTGGCCCATTAATGGCTGCGCAAATGTCACATTTCTTACACCAGGCCCTCACATCTTCTTTGCAGTTCACCCAGTAGAACCGTTCACGCAGCTTGCCAAGTGTCTTGGTAACACCAAGATGTCCACCGCTGGTTCCATTGTGAACTTCCGCCAAGATTTCCGGGACCCTCTTCTTTGGAATGACGATCTGCCTTCTCTCTTCTTGTCCCTCTGGTCTCTCAATCACACGGCGAAGTAATCCGTTATCTATACCAATGAATTCCACTGGGACCAGTACGACTTCACGTTCGGCGAATATCTGCAAACTTCCTCCCACGTTGGTCTCTGGTCCGCGTTTTTCCAGTTAATCACCAAGCCCAACTCTGGATCACTGATTTGGTCATTTGCAAGATCTTCGGTTTGCCAACTATCACCAACCACAGTCGTCCTTAAGACTTTCACTTCTTTCTCTTCTTTGTAACGATTTCCCATCTGTCCGCAATTCCAACAGCGAATCGGTCCCCCCTTCTTGCTCATATACTGATCCAGTACTTTCCGCACAATCCTTTCCACTTTGGAATCGTCGGAACTCTCCTCAACAGCCCGTACAAATCCTAGAGACCTAGAGCATTCTTTCGCGGCCTCAAATTCCAGGGCACGTGCTAGGGCATCTCCCAAATGCGTTGGATGAGCTAAAAGAAGTGTTTGCCTTGTCTCGTTGTCACGTAAACCATCAATAAAAGCCTGTACTGTTAAGCGCTCCATAACATTTTCGGGCATAGCAGGGTACGCAAGGCGAACGAGGCGGGCTACGTCGGCTTCAAACTCCTGCAGAGACTCATTTGACTTTTGAATGCGATTTTTTAGCTGGGAATGATAGACATGTTCCAAATGAGCTTGGCCGTACCTCATTTCTAAATGTCGTACCAATTGCTGATAATCTCCCTGTTCCGATGGTGACAGTGTCTGCAGGATATCAGTCGCATCTCCTCGCAGTGCGACAGTCAAAGCGGTAGCCTTTTCAGCGATTGTCCATCCGTTCGCTCTCGCAGCGGCCTCAAACTGGCAAAAATAATTGGCCCAAGCGGTTTTTCCGTCAAACTGTGGAGGCTTAATAACTGACTTTGAGATATACTTGTTTTCGACTAGTTTCGGCGCCTCCGATGTTTCTTGACATTTTGGTGAATTGGCCTTTTCTATTTCTTTCTTGTTTAAAATTTCGATTTTTTTTATTTACATCGTCCTCAATTTGTGTTATTTTGTCTTGTAGCTCCGTAGAATTCTCTATAATCTTTTCTTCTAATTCCCTGGAATTTTCTGTTATCTTTTCTTCTAAAATTAAGTATTTTATTATTAAAGCTGGCCTGTATGTCTTTAGAATTTTCTGCGATCTTATCTTCTAAAATATTAATTTTATCACTGATTTTCTCTTCTAAATTAACTTCCAAGTCAATTATTTTACTATTCAAATTGCCGTTTAAATTGTCTTGCAATTCCCGGGAATTTTCTGTAATTTTGTCATTCAAACTGTCTTCTAATTTTGTGAGGCACGAGTCAAGGTCACCTTCCAACTCAAAGCAAAATGTGTCAGGATCCTCACCTTCCTCAATCAAAACGTCTCAGTCTGGCTTGCAAAATGCTTTTCTTTCCATCTGTCTCACTCTCTCTCTTCCAATATACATTTCAGTTCGGACACTTTCAAGTCTTTCAACAATTTTTCAGAGCCATGGTCAGTCTTTTTATTTTTCTGTCTATCACACACGCCACACTTGACACCAATTGTTACGTTTTTCGTCGGTTCCGTGTGGATAGAAAGTCACAATTTATTTAAACACTATTTATTTAACACTAATTAACAAAAACAATAACGATAAAAGACTTATAGAACTATTTACAAACGATTTATAACTAAGAATTTATTTTGAATTTTAGCGCGTCAACTGCACTGGTATATTTATAACTGCCCTCTCTAGGCCACTGCCGCCGGCTTTTATACCTACAGCAAAAGAAATCTAGAATAGTCCATAGATCGTTAGGCGCATAGAGAAGGTTTTCGAATGTTCTCGTATGTACTAGTCCATTCTAGTGGGTCTCGATTCTTCTCGAACGAATGAATCATTGCGGTGGCTATGCGATGTTAAGGTCATCCGAGGGCGGGCCATATTGTGAGGTTAGGTCGAGTCCACACCGGCTCGCAACAATATTGATAAATAAGGTTTAAATTATAAGAAAATGCATTTTCTACAAAAACTTAGAAATAAGTAAAAAACGGTGGAATAAAATTTGATAAACAATTAAATTGCGCACAGGACTCATGTAAAATATACAGAGTGTTCCATTTAAATTAAACAAGTTATTGCCGTTTACAGCTAGTAATTATTTAAAATACATTTTTAGACACTCTGTATAAGGTAGTATTATTTTTACTATACAAAATTTAGTAAATAGGAAAACTTCAGTATAGCATTTGGTTTTAAAAGTTTAAATATGCCTAGTAAGAGAAATGAAGCATTAAAATTGTTACTGCATTTTCACAAAATCGTAAATATTTCAAAAATAATAAGATTTAAGTGCGGTAAACCTTAATTAAATTTACATTTATTTTAATCGTAGAAACTATAATAATATACTGGATGTTCCATTTAAAATAAAGGAGTAACTTGCTTTTAAAAGTGACTAAGGTTCCATATTAATTTTGTCTCACCCTGTATAACGTTTCGGGTCAAATTTCAATTTGGTTTAACATACAATGGTTACTGTAATTAAATATCAGGCTATACAAGGTCAACTAAAATTTACGTAGCTGTTATCGAAATCTAAAATTTACTCTTTATTTTCACAAAATGAGAAATATGTCAAAATCTTTAGATTTTAAGTATATGAGTCTTTAATAAAACTCGCATTTATTTTTTTCCTAGAATCCGAGAATCAATTAATATATAGGGTGTTCCATTAGAAAAACACAACTTTGATGTGTAACTTTTTTGGAAACAACCTGTATAATTCTATATATTTTTATAAAATGCTTTCAGTTAACCTACATATGGTGCCAAAATTTCATTTCGTTATAAACAACCGTTCTCCTTAGAGCTTTCGCGGCGTATGAGAGGCGCCACCCTGTATACCATTACAATATTTTTTTTTAAATTAATTTGCTTATATATTAATATAATATTTAAATATCTCCCCTCTTTCCAGTTACCAAGACAACTCCAAATTCTACACCGTCATGTGGAAAAAGAACCAGCAAACCTACTGGCAATCCATGCCTTTCCGTGCCGTAGCAGAACCCGGTATCCAGATCAAACTCGTCCAGTCCTCCACCGGTCCTGGCCAGTTGTTACGTAATTCACTCTGGCACACCGGAGACACTCCCAATCAGGTACGACTGCTCTGGAAGGATCCCAGGAACGTGGGCTGGAAGGAGCGCACTTCGTATAGGTGGTTCCTGATCCACAGGCCGCAAATTGGCTTGATCAGACTGAAGATATTCGAGGGGGAGAACATGGTAGCTGATTCTGGAAACTTGTTCGACAGCACGCTAAAAGGAGGGCAGTTGGGAGTGTTGTGTTTCTCGCAGGAGCAAATTATTTGGTCCGATTTGGCCTACAGGTGTAACGGTGAGTTTATTTTATTAAACCATATTTTTTAATATTATCTACTGTTAACTACTGATCGAAAAAAAAACGGCGTTCAGTTGGTCTGGAAACAAACATCGATGACATTTTCCATATAATTTTAAATATAAACATTTAGTTCTATCGCCCAATTGCACTTCTTCCAACGCTATCTAAGATCATAGAGTGTTTGGTTAAAAGAAAGCTGGTATCTTTTCTGTTTAAATACAAAATACTTACTGAATATCATTTTGGATTTTTAAGCAACAAGTCCACAAATAACGCTATGTTTTCCCTCCTTAATAAAGTTTACTCCAGCCTAAATAACCATCATTCTACAGCAACCATTTTCTGTGATTTTTCTAAGGCGTTCGACTGTGTAAATCATAAGATCCTAATTAATAAACTGCAGCACTATGGGTTCAGGGGAACATTTCTCGAATGGATTAAGTCGTATCTGAGCAACAGAAGTCAACTTGTGAGGGTGGATACCACGTTGTCTTCTAGCAAGCCAATAGAATGTGGAATACCACAAGGCTCATTTTTATTAACGACATTGCTAACATAAACATCAGTGGTAAAATATGTCTTTTTGTGGACGACACTAGCTTCACTTACATACATACATACATACATACCGCCATTACTCGCTGACTCGTCAGCGAGTGTCAAATACTCGTATTTGACACGCATCAGAAGATGGTCACGCAAGGCGTTTTCTTTCATGAGCTTTTCTGTGACTAAAAAGCCCGATACGTGATGTTATCTGTCTACCGCACTCAACACATTCAAAAATCTCATTGCTTTGTTGCCTCTTTACTTTTTGGTTGTCTGATCTTAGCTTCACTTGGAGCAACAAGGACGTCACGGCACTTCATAGGATTATATCAAATGACTTAATCACCATTAAATCTTGGTGCTATTCAAACCTCCTGAGTCTCAACATTTCTAAAACTAAAGATTTGTCGTATAAAAACTCGCTGCAGTCTTTTGTACTGAACAATGCCACCATTGACGTCGTAAAATCTGTAAAATTCTTAGGGCTTGTTGTAGACAATTCTCTGAAATGGGACATGCATATCGACGCTTTGTCGAAAAAATTAAGCTCTACCTGTTTTGCATTAAGATCTGTTTCTAAGGAGCTTAACCTGTCAGTGGCTAGAACTGTTTATAATGCACTTTTTGAGTCGCACCTTAGATAATATGCCCTTCCATTCTGGGGTACGTGTTGTGCGACTCAATTTGACCGCATTTTGAAGCTCCAGAAGAGAGCTATTCGATATTCACTGGGACAAACAGCAGAACTCATTGCCAGGACTTTTTTAAAAATTTAAAAATATTAACTCTTCCTTCCTTATTTATATTTGAATCCGTTTGCCTAATACGTAAGCATGTATCAGCTTCTCCAGAAAGGCCATCTCACACTTATCCACTCAGAAACGCGGAGCAAGATCTTACCTACCCCACGCTCAGAGTTAGTAAAAGTTCAATATTATACAACTCGAAAAAAATGCACAATCACCATCATTTTCTTCATTTCGCAAAGCATTGAAATCTTATTTACTAGACAAGGCTTTCTACGCCGTAAATGACTTATATTTTGATAATCGAATTTGATCTTGTAAACACTGGTCTAATGTTTGCTATTACTATATTTTACCAATGACATCGAAATAAATCATTGGTCTGAAAGCGATATTAATAAAATAATTCTAATTTCAGACAATCTAAGACAAGAAGTATGGAGAGAACTTCCTGCCAACCTGAGAAATCGTATCTCAGTAGATGACACAGTTTACAGTCATATCCAAGAGCCAGAACCATATCCATATCCGGAAGAAGAAGATTATTAATTTTTAAGAAAATACTAAAAGTCATCTGGCCCAAGAAAACATTGTGTTCATTTCTTCAGGCATATATTTTTTGTTTTGTTGTTATAATCCGTTTATTTTGTACTTATTTCCACAGGTTGCTAATATAGTTTTATGTCAAATATTATAAAATTACTAGATTCTTATTATAGATATAATGTTGTTTTAATTTTAAATTACCTAAGTAATTATAAACAAATGCTTTAAAACAGAAGACAAAATTATTTTGTATATTACAATTTTTTTCATATATTGACTGCTACATGAAATAAAACGACAATTTTGCCACTTTATGTAATTATTTCCCTAAACTAACCCTTGCTATAAAGCAAACGTTTATGACCCCATAGTCCCTTCTTATAAAAACATAAAACATATTTCAGACATACTTTGTCTGAAACACTTAATCAAAAGTATCACCCCGTATTATTCTTTAAGTAATTTTATATTCTAGACTCTGTGTGTTCCATAAACACTCATATTCTAATATAATTTAACAGATTTAGTTAGTTTTTTCCATTGCAAAATTGCCTTATATCTATCAAAAATAGTAGATAAAATAGAAGCATTTAACAGCGAGGATAGGTTAAAAACTTTATTTCTTCTCGTACGTTTTTCTACCTGCTTCCATTTCTGAAAATTTTTGTATTCCTTTTCATAAGTTATTCGGGATTTAAAAAGTAGTTTGGATATGGTAGACCAGTGCAAATAATTTTGAATTTGCCAAAATTTTTAGAAAGCTGCGACTATTGAAAATAGTTAGCCTTAGTAACCCTTATTAACATACTAAAAGTCCCCATTTATCCGATGTGTGCGTCATCAAAAAAAATCGGCCGCCATCTTGAATTTTGGTACATTTTGGGAAAAAATGTAAATAACTCGAAAACAGTGCGTTATAGCGAAAAACTTCAAGAGGTAAAAATTAAAGAGAATAAAAAACTCTCTCAGAATCAATAAAGAATAGTTTATTATCCTAAGGCAGTGACGTACAAAAATTTTTTGAAACTCGAGCAATTTTTAAAAGGAATCACCGAAATGCAAATTACTATTTTTTTAAGCTTATTAACAAATAACATGGATATTTATCATCAATTCAACTAAAATACAGTCTTTGTGACATTTTGAAAAAATATTTATTGGTGGTTTAATAATATTTCAAAATTAACAAAAATTGTCAAAGCTATCCTTTACTAAATACATGTGTACTAATAATGTGCGAAAGCAGCCTCCACCTTGTTTCGGTCGGGGCTATTTGTACTTAAACCAAGGTCTTTTTGTTACCATTTTGTAAACAACTTGTTTTTAAAAATACAGTGACAGTTTGAAAAATTAGGCTAGAGGTTGGAAGAAAAAAATAAAATGTAATAAACTACTTGCGAATGTCTTTTTGACATAAATATCATCTACGATCTTAACCTAAGATCTTAACACTTTTTCATTATGATAAATACATTATAAACATACCCCTACAAATCGAATAACAATAATTCAAATTATGACCATTTTAATAAAAATGTGTTACCACATAACATAGAACTTGTAACCTAACTTTTCAAACTGTCATCTCTAGAAAAAAAATGAAATTTACAATTTTATTCGATTTGTTCTTCATCGACCGATATTTGTTTGTTCTCGCAAGAAATACTATTACAGTTACCACAAAAGCATGAACATGGCATATTGCATTTTAAACATGTACCATTGCGATTAAAAAAATAGTACAACAAAATATGATTTAATCTGCTGGTCTATATTCTTGTGTCAGTGTCACGTAATTTTTAAAAAATGCCTTTAACTTCAGAGCAAAAATCGATTATATTTACGCGATTAAGGGATGGGGTTCCCATAAGGGACATTGCAGATGCATTAGGGATAAACAAAAAAACAGTGTTGTTGGCAAACTCCAAAAAAAAATTCAATATAATTCAAATATCCTTATAGACCAGGAATTCCGTCTGGGACTACTAATTCTTGTACTACTTTTTTTATCGCAATGGTACATAGTTTATTACATCCAGATTTGCAATTACAGTAAATCATTTTCAATACAAATTCTGGTGCCACTGCGTTTGACATTGTTGTTGGAACTAAGGTATACGTTTTTTTACTCCATCCACATTCTGTTGCCTCTTCTCCGTTATTTAGCCAATACTGCATTTATAAATAGGTCCTATAATACTGATTTTCAGCTGCAAACCCACCAATAAAAAATATTTCTTGAAAATGTCACAAGGATTGTATTTTAGTTGAATTGATGCTAAATATCCATGTTATTTGTTAATAAACTTAAAAAAATTAGTAATTTGCATTTCGGTGATTCCTTTTAAAAATTGCTCGATTTTCAAAAATTTTTTGTACATCATTGCGTTAGGATAATAAACTATTTTTTATTAATTCTGACAGAGTTTCTTATTCTCTTTAATTTTTACCTCTTGAAGTTTTTCGCTATAACAAACCGTTTTCGAGTTATTTACATTTTTTCCCAAAAAGTACCAAAATTCAAGATGGCGGCCGATTTTTTTTGATGACGCACACATCGGACAAATGGGGACTTTTAGTATGTTAATGAGGGTTGCTAAGGCTAACTATGTTCAATGGTCGCAGCTTTCTAAAAATTTTTGCAATTTCAACATGGTGAATGTCATAACTGCACTGGGGTATGGCGTTTGTCGCCTCAGCCTGAATATCTGTTGGTAATTTACTTATTTCGTTTTGGGCCATTTCTGGCTCCAATTCAATCAGCAATCGACACGAAAGAGAATTAAAAAATATTGACTCAAAACTGACAACTAAAGGGACAGCTTTATTTTTTTGTTAAATTACATAGAAACCAACGCCAACCCAGCACAATATTTTTTCTACTCGTAATAAATTCCTTGAAATAATTATTTCTGAATATTTTTTAAAACGAAACTCGCTATGGAAAAAAATATTGTTTTATACACGACGATAACATTGCATTACCGGCTCCCGAAATTTATTAATCCTTTCAGTCGACGATAAAATACCATTTTATCATCTTGTATAAAAAACAACTACATTTCAACACCACTTGAAAGACAAAACTTAAACAATAGTCAACTGAGACTTGAATCAAGTCACTTGATCAATTGACATAATTTGTTGAGTTTAGACGGCCATATTGCATTCATGCCGATTGAATTCTTGACTTTCAATCAATTCATTTGACTCGTATAAACGCGCCTTTAAATAAACAAGCGTTTCAAAAGTTGGGGTGCCATGGAATTCCGATCGTAAACAAAAACATGTGACAATCATACCTGACTGATTAGTAAATGCGTCGAGGTCAGTAGTGATGTGCGTTTATTAAATCATAAACTGTTTCTGAGATGTAATTATGGTTTTGTGGTGGTTCTGAGTTCCAGTGTTGTGCCAAGTACAAAGTTGATCGAGTGAAGGTGAGTTTATTTTATCTCACTGGCCCTGGGCAACTATAGTGGGTTACCGTTTATTGTTTTTATTGTGATTTGTTATATTTCTGAATCTCAGGTAAATTTTAAGGTAGTTGATTGAATAATAAGAAGTATTTGTTTATGTGACTTCATAATATAAGATAAAATACAGGGTGGGCGTCTCTTATACGACGCGGAGGTTCCAAGGAGAACGACAGTTTCTATTGAAGTGAAATTTTTTCAGTATATATAGGTTAATTCAGTGCACTTTTTTAAAATATAGAGAGTTCTACAGGGTGTCCTCAAAAAAAGTTACATATCTAAGTTGTGTTTTTTGTAATAGAACAGCTTATATATATTAATTGATTTTCGGATTCTGGGAGAAAAATAAAAGTGAGTTTTATAAGAGATGTATATGACAAAAATGTAAGGTTTTTGACATACTATTCAACATTTTCTAAAAATAAAGAACAATTTTTAAATTACAATAAAAGCTACCCAAATTGGAATTTACCCGGTATAACCTAATATGTAGTTAAATTAACTATTGTACTTTAAATCAAATTAAAACTTGATTCAAAATTTATACAGGGAGAGACAAAATTAATATTGAACATTGGTCACCTTCAAAAGTATGTTACTCCTTTATTTTAAATGGAACACCCAGGATATTATTCCGATATGGAGAATTCATGTCTCTTCAAAATACTATTAAGGTTGCCTACCCCTCAAACAAATATTTTCCTAGATATTTTCATTTACATGATTTGATCTGAGTAGATCTTTATTATTTGATAAAATCTAGGTCGCTGTGATATGTCTGACGTTACTTCAACATATCTGTCTAATTAGTCCAACTTTAACAACTAGTTATCCATTTTGTGTCAGTAAAAACAAAAAAAAATCTCAGAAATTCGCCGAAAATGCAAACTTATCCTACATCAGAAAGAATTGGTATGATTTTATTGGTTGGTGAATGCACACTGCATTAATATAATATTTAAATGCTCCTGATTTTATCTAGTCTGTTTTTTTATGGGGATATGTTAAAGCCAGTGTTTACAAAACTCGACCAACTATTGTCGACAACATGAGAGAAATTATTGTAGCTGCTTTTCGAGGTGGAACTTCACATATGCCTTTTAAAATAAAAAGATCCTTTTGAAAAGACGAGCATTTTATGCAGTTAACAGGAAAGAAAGCATTTTGAGCATTTGATTTCATCTAGCTAATTTTTGTCACATAATTATAGGTTTATATACAGGGTTGTTCACCACATACGACACGGAGTATTGTAACTAAACGATTAGATTATTACAAATTGTAAGTTTTGGGTTCGTTGAAGGACTATTAGAGCTACAATTTAAAAATATTTTTACAAGATACAGAGTGTCCCAAATAAGTAAAAAATATTATAGTTGTATTTTTTTAAATAGAACACCCTGTATATTATTCTATTTTTAGATTCTACGATTGAAATAAAGGTAAATTTGATTAAGGTTTATCACACTTAAACCTTACCGTTTTTGAAATATTTTCAATTTTATGAAATTGCAGTAAAAAATTTAAGGCTTTATTTCTCCAAGGGTTTCTTTAAAAATAAGCTAAAATGTCAATATTCCATGGGTATAGTGATAAATGAGGCCTATATTATAAAAAAAAATGCATTTTCTACGAAAACTTGAAGAGATGGGTAAAAAATGATATAATAAAATTTGATAGACAATTACATTGTGCATCTGATTTACGTAAAATATATAGGGTGTTCCATTTAAATTAAACAAGTTATTGCCGTTTAAAGCTAGTAATTATTTAATATAAATTTTTGGACACCCTGTATAAGGTAGTAAAATTTTTATTATTGCAACACAATATCTGAT